GCAGAGCTGGGGAGGGCACTGGGCTGCAGGTGGGATGCTTGCGTGGGGGGGACACAGGGCACAGAAGACCCCTTGTTTTTTGTTTTGTGTGTTTTAAAGATTTCTGTATTTGAAAGGCATAGTTACAGAGAGAGGGAGGGGGAGAATCTTCCTTCTACTGGTTCACCCTCCAAATGGCTGCAATGGCTGGGGCTGGGCCAGGGTGAAGCCAGAAGCTTCTTCCGGGTCTCCCACATGGTTGCAGGGGCCTAAAGACTTGGGCCATCCTCCACTGCTTTCCCAGGCCATAGCAGAGAGCTGGATTGGAAGTGGAGCAGCCTTGGCTCTAACCAACACCCACATGGGATGCCGGCGTCCCAGGCGGCAGCTCAGCCGGCTAAGGCCGGCCACAGCGTGGCCCCGCCCCCTTGGTTTTCCCACTTTATGCCCCAGAAGCCCTTGTTGTGTGAGTCTTCTGTGGATGCCGAGAGGGGAGCTGGTGGGAGACGGCCTCCCCACAGCTCCCAGAGCACCAGCCCGAGGGAGGCGCTGCTCAGACAGGGCGATCCCAGGGCGTGGAGCACAGGGCCAGGCCTCTCTCTGCACAGGTGAATCCTGTCCCACATGCAGCCCAGCCTGTCCCTTTAAAAATGTCCCATGACATAAGAAGGATTTTGTTTCTTTTCCTTAAGGAGCCCCCCCCACCCCCGGCTGCTGCTCCCCACTGCGGCCACGCCCCTACTCCCCTCCCCGCAGAGGGCCTTGGGCAGAGGCTCCGGCAGGCAGGAGCCAAGGTCAGAGAAGGACAAAGAAAGGCAGGCGCGCGCGCCTTGTCCCCTGTCCCGTGCCCTCCTGGTCCCCGTAGATGTGGCAGCATCCAGGGTGGACGGCAGCACCTGGGGTGGGCGGAACAAAGGCTGTGGCCCCGACTTTGGGGCCTTGGGGCCTCTGTCCCCCAAGGAGGAACCGTGGTCAGAAGTGAGTGGCGGCGTGAGCACCACCCGACCGCTGAGGCCGGAGCCGTCTGCCCTGGGGTCTGCCGGGTCCACTTCTGAGCCCGCTGGGGGTTTTCGCCCAAGTCGCAAAGCCTGAAGGGCTTCCATTTGCCCTCAAGGGACCTTCAAGGCATCAAGCAGTGCCCCCCACAACTGGGCTGAGGGACCCCGGCCCCCATCCTGAGAGATTTTAACCTCACTCCTTTATTGCCAGCATATTTGTAGACTGATGGAGGAGGTCAGAGCTGGAAGGTGGAGGCCGGGAGCCAGAGAGCGGGTCACCTACAGGCCCGAGACCTTGGGCAGTCCCCGCCTTGTCCGTGCCCCTGGTGTGAGAGGATTAGTGGGGGGATGCGGGAGGGCAGGCTAGCCTGGTGGTTAGTCGGACCCCCGGGTCAGATAGACCCGAATCCCAGCTCTGCCATGGGTGGCTGAGCCTCAGTCTTTCCATCTGTGAATGGGGATTCACTGGTTGCTGAGGACTTCAGCCCTAGTCACGCCCACTCAGCCACTGCTGCCCCTTCCGGCTAGGACAGCCACTTGGTTTGAATTCTCCGGGCGGCGCTTCTCCTGGGGGAATGAATGGAGTCACCCTGGACCATTCCCCACCCCTGGCCGTGGCTCCTGGCTCCTTGGCTGCTCCAGGGACCCCCGCAGCGTCAGGCTCGCCCAGGATGACGTGGGTTAGAGATGCGGGCTCTGGGGCTGCACCCTGGCCTCTGCTTCGGAAGCCGCCTGTAACCAGATCTTTGGGGAAGCCTTGGCTGCCTCGGGCACTGACCCACTTGGATTTGCCGGTGCCAGCCCCTCTCCCCGGCGGGCTGCCCAGCGGGACGGGAAGACGCATTGCCAGGAACTCGTTTTCCGTCCTGATTGCTAAGCCAGGGGCCCCTGCGCGGAATTAAAATGCTGATTAATATTCAGCTGGAGCTGCCTCTGATTGTAACAGCAGGCAGAGGAAAATGTCAGCCTGCACGTGGGCTCCCCACGCCCCCTCGCCCGTGCACGGGGGAGCTGCTCATCCGCCATCGGCAACAATTTATGGGGCAGAACCTGGCGGGACCCCCAGGCCCTGAGTCCCCGCTCTCCCGGGCCCCGTGTTCTGCTGGGAGAGAGGTCGCAGCAGGAGCCCGGAAGGTCACTGGGACCTCCGCTGACCTCTGGGATGGGGCACAGGGGCGGCTCGGACAAGCCAGCCGGTGCGCACGGCAGGGCTGCTCAGGGCCCCGCCTCCTCGCCCCCTGCACCTGCACTGCCTCCCAGGCCTGGGCCAGGTCCTCCCCAAGACTCGTCCATTGCGGGGAGGTTGTTCCCATTTCACGGATGGGGAAGTGGAGGTGTCAAGACGTTGGGCAGCGTCCTCGAAGTCACACAGCCAGAGTGGCCAGGTGCCCGGGTGTGCACAACCCCAGAGCACAGCTCCAGGTTTCTGCAGACTTGTCAGGATTTGTCTGAGCTGGGCAGGCTGGGAGCCCAGGCCCAGGCCCCAGCTCTGCTGTCTCCGCCTCCCCCAGGAGTGGGTCACCAGCACCGAGCTCCTCATCTCTCTAGACCGGCTCAACACCTTTGGGGACGACATCTTCAAGGACCCCAAGGTGCTACAGTCCTACTACTACGCCGTGTCTGACTTCTCCGTGGGCGGCAGGTAGGCGGGGTGGGGTGCAGGAGGAGGCTGGGGCCGGTGGCGCTGGCTGGTGGCGTGCCCCCAGGGTGGGGGGGAGCAGGCTCATCCCCCCTCCTGCTGCTCCTCCCACTCCAGGACCCCTGGAGCCGAGGAGCGTGTGAGTGGCAGGAGGGGCGGGGAGGCAGACAGGCTGTGCCCGGGGGTCAGGGGGCTGCCCTTCAGGGGCCTGGGGCCTGGGAAAGGCAAGCGAGCCCTGGGCGGGCAGGGAGCAGGTGGGGGCAGCCGGGCATGGGGCCACAGGGCCCTGAGCCTGCGTTCTTCCCTTCCCACGTCCGGTGGGAAACTCTTGCAGGATTTGGCCTGGGGAGGCCCAGGGTCAGAGTTTCATAACACTGCGGCCCTGGCCTGGCAGCCACAGTGGGGCTGGGGGTGGAGGAAGGGCGGAGGGGTCAGGGCGGCCTGGGCCAGGGAGGCGGAGCTGGGGTGGGAGCTGGGCCCACCTGGGAGTGATGGGGCAGGGGAGGGGCTGGGGCAGTGAGGAGGGGGCCCAGCTGTTGGGCTTCCCTGGGTCCCGGACACCTGGGTGCTGGTAGAGATGCTGGGGACGTGCTGGGGGCCCCTCATCTGTGACGCGGTGTCTGCTGTCTCCCAAGAAGGGGATGGGGGTGTCGGTGAGAATCCCCCCATGTGCGCGTGAGTCTACCCAGGAGGGGGCTCCGCCGGGATGGCCGTGGCCTTGAGCTCTGAGCCGGCAGTCGGGGCCGTGGGCCCGAGGACATCTGGGCCCCAGCTGCCGGAGCTGGACCACCCTCAGTCCCGCAGCGGGCTGGGGCTGGCTCTGGGGTGGGGACAGGTGTCGCATCATGTCCCCACTCTCCTCCCGCGGCTCGGAGGCTTCACAGGGGGCAGGGATGCTCCCTGGTCACCTCCCTGGTGCCCTGCCTGGTGCCCGTGTCACCCCTGCCATTGCCTGCCCGCCCTGAGCCCGCGTAGGAAGTGTGCAGTGTGCCTTTCCCACACTGGTGTCCCAG